CGTGTACTAATTTTCTTTTTTTTTTTTTTTTTTTTTACTTTTTTTTCATCACATTTTTAACAACTATGTATATGGCAACGTGTGAATAGACCTGTGCGTAAATGTGTGTATGTGTGTGTATGTGTGTGTATGTAAACTTTCTCGACCCCGAGAATTGAAAAGCATGAGCGGTGCTTTTTTGTGGCATTAAAAACAGGGGGTGGATATATAGAGAAAGAGTAAAAGAACGGAAAATCCAATTTGTGGAGCAGGTCAAAATTTTAAACAGAAAATAACAAAGATGGAAAAGTTGAATAAATTCATAAATTATGCATATATAACTACAGCGTACTGGCGGGACGGACGTATACTTGAATGAGCTTTGATTTCTATACGACACATTTCGCTCCGAGGAATATCTCTATGTATTATATATCAACGTGTGCTTGCGAGCCCGTTCGGACTCTTAATTTCAAGATGAATTTGCTGCTGTGCTGTGCAGCTGCTGCTGGCTCTCCGTCTGGCTCTGGCTTCGAGCGGCCGATGCGTAACAGTGGTAGTATTATTTTTTATTATTATATATATATATTTTTTTTTAGTTAATTAATCGGGAGCGTAGCTTTTTTCCGAATCGTTATAAACAAGGTTTTAAGAGCGAAAAAATTCATACCCATAGCCGATTAAATATCGAAGTCGAGAGAGTCATAATACGTGCAGAAAAAAGGAGAGCGAAAAAAAGGAGAAGAAGGAAAAAGAAGTTTATTCGCACTGTCTCTGCACAGTAATGAACTTAGCTGGGCAAAAAAACGTAAAAAAAAGAGAGCGAGAGAAGAAGAGAAAGAAAAAGACTACATAAAGAGCCGGGGACATGTATATTATATAAAAAACGAGCTTGCAGTAATAAAAAAAGCTCGCATTGAAAGACACGAGAGATAAGGACTTTTCAGTGTATGTACACAGCCAACTAAGAGGTGTGCGCTGGCGCTGCCGCACACACGGGTGAGAAGGAGAGCTTCGAGGCTCGAAAGCTCGAAAGCTCGCGCTCACTGTGTATTATTACATTCACGCAGTGACTAGTAGTAGTAGTAGTCGGTCTTTCAGGTCTCGCGAGAACGATGTATAGCAAAATATAAAAAAGAGAGAGGAAAAAAAGAAACTATAAGTATTCTCGTGCATTCGCGAACAAAAAAGAAAAAGAGAAAGGAAAACAATTTACGTAGCGCCGCAGTCATTGATTGTGCGTATGATAATAAAAATGCATTCGAGGGGGGAGGTTCTAGGCTTTTCTATGTAGGCGCGCGAGCGAGCGATTTGCATGAGAAATTCAATATATATTCCTCTAGCTGCTGCTCTCTGCACTTTGGCAAGTATTATACATAAATATATATACTGGAGATACGCGAGCCCGTGTGCGCTGGAGATAGGGAGAGAGAAAGATATAGGAACAGCTGAGAGCGAGCGAGAGAGATGGCTTTGCTTTATTGCCCACAATCGCGAGAGATGCTTTAATATGTATATATAACGCGCGAGCCAACGCCGAGCCAGGCGCAAGTGCAAAGTTTAATGGACGTGCCCGATTATATATTACACATACATACATGTACGCATTTCAATCTCGGACAGAGACCGAGAGAGTGATATCGTCCTAGAGAGATACCTGTCTGCATAAATTGCCCAACGCATAAAAAAAAAAATTCGAAATTGCCGAAGAAAAAAAAAGCTTTATTATTTTTTTTCTCCATTGTAATACTTTATTTTTTATTTCTTCGCGGAAAGGAATAATATTTGCAAGCTCATGGCACATATTATGAGACGACGCATCAACGTATCTTTCATAAATATATCCTCCTCGATATATATCTATGTATCCGAAAAGACGTTACGTGTTTACGTAACAAGGGAATAAAAGTCCGCAAAAGTCGAGTTATTATTACCATTATTATTATCATTATTATTATTATAGGTGCGGGGCAAGAAAAAAACAGCAGCTCCAGGGTGGTCTGGCAGCTTAGTTGCCCTTTAAGCACGTAGGCCGCCAACGCTCTATATTACCCGCCTCTTTACGCGGGACATATATCACACAAAACACGAAGAGCTGCTGCCTGTGTGCTATATATATATATTAGCTTCTCGAAGCTTTTGATCAAAAAAATAATACGTCGTAGCTCGCTCTTCGATTCTATGTCCTTTATCTAAGGGTAATAAGTACGTTATTTCGGGTCGTCTTGCATAGAGATGTATGTAACCTTGAGAGCAACCGATAGATATATAGATCGTAAGGTTCCACTCGACGTACGCCTCTCGATTTTTCCACGCCTCTTATTTCGCTATATACATACGTCTGACTTTTTTTTTCGATCATTACGTCGTCGGTTCGTTTATTTATTTTGTTGGATTAAGCCGAACGAAGCTGGTGCAGAGGACAGGCGCAACGTGATTTAATTTAATTTAGACTTTCGCGCAAGCGAAATTCCACCACCGCAAGCGTCACACAGAGAGACAGAGAGAGAGAGAGAGGGAGAGAGAGAGAGAGAGTGAAAATTACTCCAGGCGCGCAAAAGATCCCCCAAAATTGAATCGTCGAACGTACCTCCTCTGCACGTATGCGCGGCTTAAGTGCGGCACACACACATGCACACACATATCCACGAAACGTCAGACTTGGCGCGCTGGCTCACAAAGGACTTATTAAAGTACCACCACCGAGCGCGAGTATATATATAGTATATAGTATAGTAAGGAAGAGGTATCAACTTTGCTCGGGTCTCTCTCTCTCTCTCTCTCTCCTCGCGCGACACCTCGTTAGCCAAACAAGATAAGTCTATGTCGTGTCTCGTTCTCTTATACGCCACCGCCACTAGCTCGGCTCCTTTCACTATATATACCGAAGTATATGTATAAGGGAGCGAGACACATAAACTCCATCTCTCTCCGAGCGAGGCGAGAGAGACAGAGAGAATTTCGCGAAAGCTAAGTGTTCGTAATATATCGAATTACCTATGCACGCGTGGACTGTGCTGTGCGCGGCGCGCTCCTTTTGTCGTCGCGAGTTCGTACAGTGTGCGTGTGACATTTAAAATAACCGACTGAGAGATGATTCTCCTTAATCATGTGTGTGTGTATATTATGACGATGCGACTTTCGATTAAAATTCGCGAATCGACAACGACTCGCACGTAAAGGAATTACGTTCGCGCAAATGTAAGATTTATCTCGTTAATACGAGAGAGAGCCCAGAGATAGATAGCCCAGATTGATTATCGATTTTTGCGCAGGCAAAGCCAGCGGGTAAATAGTAAAAAGAAAAAAAAAGAGAAGAAAAGGAATAAGACGGTACGAGGGGAACAAACATCGCGTCCATCGACTTAATGAATATGCGCGAGTTCTCCCTGTCCTTTGCCTCGTCTCCTCTTCCTCGCGAGGAAGTACATTACAAAAAAAGAAAGACAGAGAAAACGTATTATGTATTCTCCGCGAGCTTTTCCTTTTCCCTTTTTTTTTGTTGTCGTCCTCGTCGTGTACGAAGTGCACACAGAGAGTCCATTACAGCATACGGTCACTGCACTCGACTTTAATGCTATACGTGCATGCAGCGGTACACATCGCGATCGCGAACGAGGAATCGTCGTCGTCATCATCGGGGCACGACGTTCGACGTCGTTACTTATTATTACTGTACGCGATCGCGTATGTATATATATACTACTGCTACTGCGCACGGGGGAGGCGATTACGATCGTTGGATTATATACAATTTCGATGCCACCCAGGGAGTCGTCGTCGTCGTAGAAGCGTTTTAATTAACCCGCATTTCGCGGTTATCATCGTTGCGCTATCTCGTATACGAGCGCGACGATGGCGGTGCTCTTATATAGCATTGTATACCGTGCGGCAGTAGTGTAGCGTATCGCGTTGTATTATTTATTTCGAAATTAACGAGTATGGTATTCAGCGACTCGGTGACAGACAACTATTTTTTTATAATGCAACAGCAGTCGACACACGTTTTATATATAATCGAACTTCGATATATAGGATAACGTATACCCTATATACTTCCTCTCTCTCTCTCTCTCTTTCTCGTCGCGTAATTAATATCGATCGATTCTATCTCTCTCCCTCTATACACTGTATATATAACGCGTAAAAATTGTTCTCTTATCGTCTGCGATCCGCGAGCAGCATATTGTGTTCTGCGCGCGAAAAGATAAGTACACACACACACACGCGCAGTCGGGTGAGTGCGCGTGTGTAAGGGTAGGAAAATTACTCGACAGCTTGGTGCTGCTCGCACCGCGTAAATAATGTAAAAATTATTATTAAAAAAAAAAAAAAAGAGAGAGAGAGAGAGAGACAGACGTGTACTCGCGGCGATACGCTCGGTTAAAGAAATTAGTGTTTGTACTCGTGTCGGTGGTAGGAAGTTTGAACGATCGATCGAAAAAGCTCGCGGCTCACAACACGCGTATATGCACACATACACAGACATATATATATACAGATAGGCACACACACACAGGTATACGTACAAAAAGCTCTAATGTATTGCCTGCAATAGGAGCTCGCGCGCTGGTGCTCGCCTACTATCTCTACTATACTATATACTGCCATCAATGGGGGGAAATCCAATCGTTCTACATCTATCTCGGTGAGCGGTGAACACGTTGCGCTGCTGCTGGCGTACGTTATACATTATATGTTTACGTTCTTAACCCGCCTTTTTTTTTTTTTTTTTGTACATTGCCTCACCGCAAAAGCTCGGTTTAATTGACACGTTAAGGATAGAACCCGATAGCGGTAGATGTGCTTTTGTAATGCGATAATGTAAAAATTTTCTGGACGTACAAAGCTCGACGATCTTTCCGAAAGGGATAATGGATATTGGGATCGCGCGTACGCAGTTCTATCGTGCGTTTAACGCGTCTATATTGACCCTACTGTAACATTATATTATTTTTGTGGCTTCAATTTGCGGGGATTAACCCGCTCGTAAAAGCTCCGATGTCTCGTATACAACTCACATTTGAGAGAAAAACATCGGTGGTGACTGACTCTCTCTCTCCCTGTCTCTGGTCTCGATCGTCGGGAAATCGGAGAAAACAGCAGCGGCAGCAACTCGACGACGAATCGTTTCGCTTCGCAGTCGAAATTTATAATAATCGAGAAAAATAAAAAAGCAAACAACGGACGAAAGAGTATCGATCGCGAGCGATTCACTGTGTGCGTGTGTATTATAATAAAAATCAGTAGCACTGGATCATTTTGCACCCAACGACGAAAAAAAAGCAGCACTGCGCGACCGTGCGTCGCTCGTCGTTACATCGTCGTCGCGTCAGGATGAATTTGCCAAAGGCAAAGATGAGAAATCCGCGCAACAATCGGGAGAAAAAGTTAACGAGCACCGATGAGCACGACCGGCGCGCTCGCGCACTTTCGGTAATCGTCGCCGTGGTCCTGCTGATCGTCGTCGTCGTCGTGCTCGTCGTGACTCGCGTTATTACGGTGTCGTCGCGGCACTGTCGTTACCACGATCATCGTCGTCTTCGCGTTAACACGCGCACACACACACACACACATACACTTCGTTACGAGTCCGAGGAGGATGATCGAAAGTCAAACGCGCGAGAGGAGATGGAGCTTTCTCAGGGAGGAAGAGGAGCTCCTCACCGCCGCGCGAGACAGCTCGGCGACGACTGACTAGCGGCAGGATCGAGCTTGCGCTCGCGTCTCTCTCGCTGTACACTATGACGGATCCAAAGTACAGAGAGCGGCGCGCGCAAGCTTTATTACACACCTTTTGTGTATACACTATATAACATAGCAGTGGCGGCGGCGGCGGCGCGCAAGCTCTATATAACCGACTGACTGACTGCTAGCTCTCGGTGCACACACGCGCGCGCGTGCCAGAGAGAGAGAGACAGAGAGGACAATTGATACCTGCCGCCGCCGTCGCCGACGCCGCCGAGGAAGAGAATCGTCGATTAATACATTTATTAAAGTCACCGAGTGAGTTGGCGCGCGCGCGCACAGCAACACATGGCATATAGCAGGCATAGGCAGGGAATGCTATTGTGTGTCTCTCTGACTCGTTACCGTATTACTATATTAAATATCCAAAAGCTGCTTGTTCTATAGTGTATCGCGTTTTGATTAATCGACGCCGTGACGGCGACCCTTTTGTCACGGCTTATATATACTATTTATCGTGTACACGAAGGGACGACGACGACGAGCGCGACATATCGTCCATTATTTTTTTCTTATTTCTTAAATCGAGACGATAATTACGAAGTCGATCGATCGTTCGACGAGAGAGATGAAAAATTATCTGCGTTGTAACCGTCGACCATGACGTTTCGACGACTTATTTCTTTTTTTTGTCTCTCTTTTCTTCCGTCTCTGTGCAGCAGTATTCGACACTCGGTGTCGTATCTCTATCTCCTCGGCGCGTATCGGATTTTTTTTCCTACCCCTCCTCCACCACCGCCTACCCTCTTGACGACGACGACGGCGGTATCGATGCTTTTTCCGTCGCTTTTCCTATACCTTGTTACCGTTAATTCGATTACGAGGCATTGTAAATTCCAATTTTTTTTTTCTCTCTTCTCTGTCGTCGAGACTTTGAGAAAAAGAAAGCGATCGTTGTACAAAACCGTTAACGATATTTAGATGGAAAATGGAACACCGATCGCGCGAGATTGTTGGCAGGGTCAATTAGGTGCTCGATGCAATTAATAAGAGTGAAAAACGTGTTTTTCATGGTCAGCAGCAGAGAAACAGAGTAGTCACTTTGCTGACCACTTTTATTGTTTTAAAAAATAATAACGTTAAAAAATGCGTATAAATAAAACAACCTTGAGATATTCTCTACAGGCAATCGTCTGACGATTACATTGAATCAATTATGTAACATTCAACATTTTTTTTACATATTATACGCCGTTGTACTTTTCGGTGGTAATTGACTCGCTCGCGCAATTATTGTACCTTTGTATTTACATCTAATTCTCAAATTTAAGACTAATATTGAATTATTGGTAAAATTACTGAGTTTCATTATATATTCAGACGTTTAACGTGATCGGTTTTTCTTTGCGTTGCCTTGATAAAACCTAAAAATTGTAACTCAGCTACGGACTGAGTGAAACGAGCTCTGAAACGAAATAATAAACATGTGAAATACTGAAATTAAAATATTTTATTAAAACTAAAAAAATATATTTACTGTAATACTGGGTCTATGTCTTCTTTTTCATCTTCTTCATTTTCTTTAGGATCCACCATCGTGCGGAACGCCTAAACATTGATCATTTTTAATGCAACTTGTATTTTTATAATTATAAAAATATTGCTCTAATTGAATTAAATATTTACCTGTAGCCAATCGTACATGTTGATCATTTTTCTATTTTCAAGATGCAATTTGTAGGCTACACATATATCAGGTGGGTTTGGGAACTCCTTAAAAACAAAAAAGTTTAATTAAGACATGCTACAATTATGATTTTTTACAATATGCCAAATAAACTTACTTCATGAATTTCCTCTGGACTAGTTAAGGCAGTATGGATCGCTCCTTTCATAGACCCTCTAACACAGTCTTTAATCGTTTTTGCATCATCATAGCAAAATATTTCATTTAATGGAACTTCGCTAGGGCTCTTTAAATAAACATGAAATACTTCGGTATCCAAATACTTGACAAATTCGTTTAGAGCTTTAGTGTAAGGCGATTGGCTGTGTTGTTTAGCCTTTTTCGCCAATTCCTAAGAAGAAAATCGGTTGGCATCAAACTTTTTCAAAAATTTTATTCTTAAATTTACTTACGTCTCTCCAAAGTTGTCTTCCTGTGATAGGAGTACTAGGTTTTTCTTCCTCTTGGGATTCGATTATTTTTAAATCAGCATTGTTTATAAGCTCGAAATATTCTTCAAGTTTTTCAATAACGTTATTTAAAATTGGTTTCGAATTTTGTAATGCTGATATAACTTTTTTTATATGTTCTAACAATTCTTCTTTTGACCACATTCTCATAAGTTTCATTGCCTCTTTGTAATCTGAAGATTCAACAATGCTTGTTTTTTTTGCAGCCTCACCATAAATTTCTCTGAACTGAATAATATGGAAATTTGCAAATCATATTAATTGAACCATATTAATATAATCATGAAATATTTTTTTAATTAAATATTACCATTTTTCCAAAAGGACGACTTGGCATATCAACTGTAAATATATGTAAGCATTTAAGAATAACCAAAAATGAATTGATATAATCATGAAACTCTTCTAAAAGCTGAACTATCATTTTCTACGAATAAAAATATTTGTTAATAAAAAAGTTTAATTAATGTTTCAAATTAGTCAAAATTAGCAAAACGCACCTTAAACTCTTCCTTGGTAATTTTCGTTTGTTTTGTATACACTGAAAGAGAGGGTAATTTTTTCAATTTTATAATATCTGTATTATTCAACTCCGCTACTTTTTTTAAAATGTCTTCTCTGCGACAGCACAATTTAAATTCATTGCGACCATAAAAGTGTCTCCACATACAAATCTACAAACCAAACATCAGATATTTAGATAATGTGGTATTAGCCTTATAAATTGTAAGAAATATTCAATCTTGATATACTTTATAACTTTGGAGGAATCCATTAACTGAGAAATCAAAATATAGGAATAGATCAACTAGTAAGCAATAAGCTTTATCGATTACTTTAAAAGGTATATTTGAAGAACATATCAATCCGTCTAAAATATCAGATAAATATTCTGTTTGACTTTGGGTGCGAAAAACCTGTAAAGTATAATTAATATCATTTTAAGTTAACATCATTTAAAGAATGCATATGTTGATAACATACTTGAATTTTTAATTTTGAAGTGGCATCATAAGAAAGTGATCGATGAACAATATGCAAAGTAGTGGCTACACCAAAGATCAATATAAACTTGATGTTTTTGGCATAGGATCTGAAATTTAACACAATATGAAAATAAAAATTTTTGAAATGTTATTATTTCTATTATCTTACCCCAATATTAATATGAAGTCATGCAAAATTTTGGGTATAAAACTTTCAAAATCTGGTACAATAATAACAATTGGAGTTTCTGGGCTAAGTTTATCTCTATGCCAAGCCTCTAAAGCATAAAATGTGCACTGATTTCTCTTGATTACCACTGTATCTTCCTCTTCTTCCTCATCCTGCAAAAAGTTAAGAAGAAATCATTATATGCCCTAAAAGAGTTTCACTAGCTTGAAAAAGATATTTAACAGATGTATATTTAGTATGCATCTGTTTGCATGTATTTTTACTTCATTTCCATTAATAATTTGATAAACAAGCTTTTCAGTTAGATGTTTCAGTGTTGGACAATCTCGTGACCACAATGTAGCAATATAGGGAGAAATGGACTGCAAATTTGATACTACTTTATCAATTAGAATATCATGATCTGGTAAATTCACTCCTGAAAATTTAAAAGTACATACATTGTAATATTCTCATTGAGTGCATTTCATTTAAGATCTCTTTGATAAAATAGTTTACAAACCTGCTAGCAATATTCCAGTGGGTATTTCATCTTTTAATAATGGTAAGGTTTTTACTTTTTTAACAAAATTTTCCAAATCAAGTAAGATTTGTCTAAATGCCTTCATATTTGCATTCTGAAAAAGTAATTTACTAAGCATCAAGCATTCTTGACCAAGTGTATAATATAAATAAATACCTTAGCTGCATTTTCAATTGTTGACCAAGTTTCCTTGAATGCAAGAAATGAGGGCTCTTTTTTGTAAGCATAAAGATCAGTTTTATCATTCCTCTTTCTTTTTTGCCCAACTTTATATTTACTGTAGGCAAAGACACCCTGAAATGTAATTAATATAATAATAATATAAAGAAAATAAACAGTTTTTGTTGTTGCATAAAAAAATTCGAAAGTTTTCAATTTTAAAGGTTATTTCTTAAATATTCTGAAATTTTCGCACCTTTGATACAGACCAATCCTCCATGATTGAAAAAGTGTGTTTTAAAGCAAAAAAATTATAAAACAAACTGTATTAAAAAACGTCCTAAACAAGCAGAACTGTAACCACTGTAAAACTGCAAAAAAAAGTGAAAGTAAAACTCAAATTAAAACAAAGTAAACATCATTTGGGTGCACTAATCGCACGGCATAAACACAGGAGCGTGCGTGATGGTGCGTGTAAACAAGCAACCCAGCAGCCAGCTGATATAACATTTTCCCGCCAATAACACCGGCCGGGTGTCACAATTCCGATTTTTTAAATTTAATTCAAAATGATATGTTTGAATGATTGAAGTTTGCTCGTTACCGATTTGTTGCACGAAAGTCACAAAAGCTTTACTTTAAATTTTTATATTTTGCGTGAAACAATAGTTTAAATGAAACTGTAATGAATCGCACTCGATAGTTTACAAAAAATATTCTAATATCATAATTATTTTTCTTAAAAATATATTCATTTCCTTACAATTGAAGCTTCATTCTTACTCGTACTTCAATCAATATTGAACAATAATTGTAGCGCTAAACAATTTCAAGTTTTTAGCGGTATGTTGGCGTCTGCACTGCAGCAGCGGCGGTAACCCTCCATTTTGCACGCGAGGCCGCACCGGACGGCAGAAATTCGCGCATCGCACATAATGCAGTCACTGCGGCAGTGCAAGCGTTGCTAGAGCGTATTAGTTTCGTATAAGCGTGGAAACCATCTGTCAGATATGTTTCTGCCAAATGTTATTGTTGTTGCAAAAACAAAACATTGCCGTTTACCGAGATAGGTGCTTTGCATTCTCGTGCCTGCACGGATCGAAGTAGTTTTTGCGTGTTTATCGATTTTGAGAGTGGTTGCTATAAAAGGGGGAAAAAAAAGTTCGCAGTGCGACGTGCAAAATGAAGTTTCGTGATACTAGTTGAAGTTGAGTGAGCACAAATTGTGTTTAATACTTACTTCCTAATGAATTGAGAAGAATATAATTTTATTTGACGCAGCTGAACAAAAAATAAGTTGCAATCATGTCTGAGTACATTGAAATCCCTTTGAGGGACACAAATGAGGTGAGTAAAATGAACATAACACTTTATACCAGTTATAAGTGCTATTGATAAGTAAAAAATTTCAAAAAGTCTTCTTTATAATTTCTAAAAAATCTCTCATTTCCAGAGTTTTATAATTATATCTATGAATCTAGTAATAATTCAAAACAAACCGATAATTTTGTCAATTAGTAGTTTTTAAATAATTAAGAAATATTGTGTAACTAATTTTTGATTTCACTGCCAATAAAAATAATCATGAGTAAATTAAACTTTTTAAATTATAAAATAAAGATTAATTTTCTATGTTCATCTTGTATAGGTCATAGAATTATCTGTGGACCAATTACCAGATGGAGAAGAAGTGCTGGGTATACTGCGACAAGAAAATGCCCAACTACATATTTGGGTTAATTTAGCCGTAAGATCATTTTATTTTATAATGCATTTCAAAATGAGTTATATTTGAATTTTAATATTGATCTATCATTTATATATTCCAGCTTGAGTATTACAAGCAACGAAAAATTGATGATTTCATTAAAATTTTGGAGGCATCTAGAATTGATGCAAACGTCTACTATGAAGACTATGAAAAAGATCAAATGCGAGCATTGGATATGCTGGCAGCTTTTTATGTACAAGAAGGAAATAAGGAGAAAAATAAAAATAAGAAAAAAGATCTATTCACAAAAGCTACTCTCCTTTATACAACAGCAGATAAAATTATTATGTATGACCAGGTAAGTTGACGATGAAACACATTAAATAATGAGTGAAGAATCCAATAAATATTTAGCAAATTTTTCAATTTTTCTCAAGAATCATTTACTTGGGCGAGCTTATTTCTGCCTTCTTGAAGGAGACAAAATGGAACAAGCCGATGCTCAATTCAATTTTGTTCTCAATCAATCACCAAATAATATTCCATCGCTTTTGGGTAAAGCCTGTATAGCTTTTAACAAAAAAGATTATCGAGGAGCTCTTACATTTTACAGGAAAGCTCTGAGAACTAATCCAAATTGTCCAGCATCTGTTAGAGTTGGTATGGGTCATTGTTTTATGAAACTAAATAATCATGAAAAAGCAAGAGCAGCATATGAAAGAGCAAGACAATTGGATCCTAGATCAGTTGGAGCATTAGTGGGCCTTGCCATACTTGATTTGAATGAACAACATCCTGACAGTATTGAAGACAGTATAAGGTCTGGTGTTACTAAGTTATCAGAAGCATACACAATTGATTCAACGAATCCCATGGTTCTGAATCATTTAGCCAATCATTTCTTCTTCAAAAAAGATTATAACAAAGTTCATCAATTAGCTTTACATGCTTTTCATAACACTGAAAATGAATCTATGAGAGCAGAAAGTTGTTACCAATTAGCAAGATCATTCCATGTCCAGGTTTGTAAATGAAAATGAATTAATGCTTATACATTTATGAATTCAGTAATTTTTAAATAAAACCTTTTTTTAAAGGGTGATTATGATCAAGCTTTTCAATATTATTACCAAGCAACTCAGTTTGCTTCACCTTCTTTTGTTCTTCCTCATTATGGATTGGGTCAAATGTATATTTACAGAGGAGATAATGAAAATGTATGTAATTTAACACTTATTTCCGTAATTTATGATTGAATACCATTTTAACTGAATTTTAATTTTTAATTTTTAATTTTTAATTTTTAATTTTTAATTTTTAATTTTATATATAAATAGGCAGCCCAATGTTTTGAAAAAGTATTAAAAGCCCATCCAGACAATTATGAAACAATGAAGATTTTAGGATCATTATATGCAATTTCCCCGTCGCAATCCAAACGCGACATAGCCAAAAGTCATCTAAAAAAAGTCACCGATCATTATCCAGATGACGTCGAAGCTTGGATTGAATTGGCTCAAATATTAGAACAGAGTGATTTGAAAGCTTCTTTGAATGCCTATGAAACTGTTATTAAAATTCTCAATGAGAAAGTGGAGGCGGATATTCCACCAGAAATTTTAAATAATGTCGGCTCCTTGCTTTACAGGTAAGAATTGCGTATAATTTTTTTAATATGTGATTTGTAAAGTTTATTCATACAATTATTATTATTCTTTATTTTAAGATTGGGTAATCTCGATGAATCTCGAAACAAATTGATTGAATCCCTTGAGCGCTCACGAGCTTACGCTCAACAAGATCCAGGATATTACAATTCAATCGCTGTAACGACCACTTACAATTTGGCTCGAGTTTACGAAGCTCAATGTATTTATGACAAAGCAGAAAAGCTGTATAAAGACGTGTTGAAGGAACATCCAAATTACATCGATTGCTATCTGAGATTAGGATGTATGGCTCGAGACAAGGGTCAAATTTACGAAGCTTCGGATTGGTTCAAAGACGCATTGAGAACCGACAACGACCATCCCGATGCCTGGTCACTGCTCGGCAATCTTCACTTGGCTAAACAAGAATGGGGACCCGCTCAGAAGAAATTCGAAAGAATTCTCAAGAATCCAGCTTCGGTGAACGACGCCTACTCGCTCATCGCCCTTGGTAACATATGGCTGCAAACTCTGCATCAAAGCGGAAAAGACAAAGAGAGAGAAAAACGTCATCAGGATCGAGCATTAGCCATGTACAAACAAGTGCTAAGAAGCGATCCGAAAAATATATGGGCTGCCAATGGCGTGGGTTGCGTCTTGGCTCACAAAGGATACGTCAATGAATCGAGAGATATTTTCGCTCAAGTCCGCGAGGCCACGGCCGAATTTCCCGATGTGTGGTTGAATATTGCTCACATTTACGTTGAACAAAAGCAATACGTTAGTGCAATACAAATGGTAAGTTGAACAGCCGTAATTAGATATTGTTCATATGATTATGAAATTATTTAAATACTTTTCAGTATGAAAACTGTTTGCGAAAATTCCATAAATTTCATCACGTGGAAATTCTCATTTATTTAGCAAGAGCTTATTTGAAAGCTGGAAAGCTGAAAGAATCAAAATTAACTCTACTGAAGGTACTATATCCGAAATTTTTTCTTCGCAAATCGGTATAAGTTAATCGAAATACTAAACTGTAAATTGCGTATTTAGGCACGACGCGTCGCGCCTCAAGATCTGGTGCTTCTGTACAACATCGCGTACGTCTTGCAGCTGCTGGCCACGCAAATTCTCAAAGACGAGAAAACCAAGTTGACGACGGTACTGCAGGCGGTGCACGAGCTCGGCCTGTCGCACAAGTATTTCCAGTACCTGCAGACCAACGGAGACCGCATGAAGATGATGGCCGAGGCCGAGGCGAGATCCTGTCAAGATCTGCTGTCCCAGGCTCAGTATCACGTCGCCAGGGCACGCCGACTCGACGAGGAGGAGAAGATGCTGCGCAAGAAGCAGGAGGAGGAGAGGCTCGCTCTGAAGCAGCGCCAGACCGAGGAGCAGAAGAAGCTGGAAGAGATTCAGCGTCAGAAGGAGGAAGAGATGCTGCAGAAGAGGCAGGAGTACGTGGAGAAAACCAAGAACGCTCTCATCTTCAACGAGATGCCCAGCGAAAAGCCGACCAAGAAGGGCAAAAAGAGTCAAACGGAGGAGTACATCAGCGGAAGCGATGACTCCGGTAACGAGGGCGGCGCAGAGGGTGGAGAGGATAGACCCAAGAAGGCGAAGAAGCGCGTCGACGCTAAAGAGCGAAAGTCTCGAGTCAAGAACAAGCGAGGACACGACGACGGTTCGGGAAGCGACGTGCCCCAATCGAAACGCGGAAGGAAGAGCGGAGGAGGTGGAGGAGGTGGAGGAGGCGGCAAGAAAGAGAAAAAGGAAAAGGTCAAGAAAGGTCCGAAAGAAATTTCGGTACCGAAATCTCGAATCATTTCAAAGGAAACGATTTCAACCTCCGAATCCGAAAGCGATAACGAGCGCTCGAAAATCAGGAGCGGGTTAGTAAATTTTCTTCTAAGTTATATCGTTGAACTAATGTGTAAATAATAAATTTAATTTTCGAATTACAGGGACGAGAGCGACGGCGGTGGCAAGGGCGGCGCCAAGCGTCGCATCGACTCCGACTCGGAGGGTTCGAGGGTCTCGCGCTCGAGGTCGCGCTCAGGATCCAGATCGAGATCGGTATCTCGCTCGAGGTCTCGTTCCAGATCCGGTTCGAGGTCGGGCTCGGGTTCTCGCTCGAGGTCAAGATCGAAATCGAGATCGCGATCGAAATCAGGATCGAGATCGAGGTCGGGATCGCGATCGAGGTCAGGCTCAAGAAGTCGCTCGGGCTCTCGTGCACGGTCTAGATCCGGTTCGAGATTGAAGTCGGGCTCTCGTTCGAGATCGAATTCAAGGTACAAAATTCACAACATTAATCATTCAATGAGAGAATTTCAAATATTTATGTATTTTATTTTCGCAGGGCAAGATCGAGGTCGAGAAGTGGATCGAGATCGAAATCCGGCTCGCGCTCGCGTTCCAACAGCGGTTCGCGGCGCAGCCGATCGGGCTCCAAGCGGAGCGGCTCGAGATCTCGCTCGAGAAGCGTGGGTTCCAGGAAAAGCGGCTCCAGATCGAAATCGAGATCGAGATCCAAGTCGGCGTCCAGATCAAAATCCAGAAGCGTTTCGCCCACTCATTGATTCGACGTTGAGGGAAATTCGCAATCTAATATTACCTTGTATTGATATTTTTATGATTGTAATTTATTGAACGATTGAATTTTATATTCATGAAATTGGAATTATACATATTTAATATGCTTGTGGAAAAATATTTAAATCTTGAAAAAAAAAAGATTAATGATGTAAACTATTTCTTATGAAAGATATAATTTTAACAATAAAATTTGTATAAAAAATAAAAAACTTGTCTTCAATTTTGATCTTGTTTTATTATACCGACTGCGAGCGGCGAGTGCGCAATATGCAACCAATTGGTCCATCATAAGAATAAGAAGCGCCGGATAAATAGTAAACAATCGAACATAACCTCTGCGTTTTGAAGCAAATCAGGATGTCAAAAAGGTAAACATGTCTAATTTTTCATTGTTTAGATATATAAGATGTTTATAACTTTGAATGATTTTTTTGTAAAGTGGAGGAAAATGGAAAAGCGACATGGACTTTCGCAACATTTACGAGCAATGTTATCGAGGCTCTGCACCTATAAATATCAACAACTATTTCACACAGTACAGGAATTTGATTGATGAGTCAGGACTCAAGAATATAGATAAAACTGACAAGGAAAAACTTTACAGCCTTGTTGGTGATCAAATAGATGAAGAAAGGTATGATTTGTTAGCGGAGTACTGTAATCCGGATAAACTGACATGTCCCGGAGAGTTGCAGAAAATGAAGAAAGCTCATTTCGAATGGTGCAAAGATCCAGAAGACAAGTCAATTATTGAAACATGTACCTTGAAAACGGTACAGGACACTCTTTTGAGAAATAGACTAAAAAATCATCAGGTACCTTCAAAATATAAAAGTGAAAAACCTATCGTAAGTACATTCAATATGTTTTAATAATTTTCTCTAATTATCATGAAAAATGAGAGTGAATTTTTGCAGTGCTATGAACCACACGTTCCAAGTACGAGCTCTGTACCAAGATTGATACCAAATGAAGACATGTTAGTTATTGTTAGAGTGTACACACCATTCACCAGCAGAAACAAGCTTAGTACAGGTTCACTTGGAAAATTGTCGATCAATCTTGTAGTTGCAATGCTTGGTTCCCAGACATTGGACAAATTAAGAGATGTTATAAGTTGTGTTTCTGATATGGCTATTTCAACTGAAATGAGTGCAGCACCCATTAGGTCACATGCAACTCAGATGGCTAAGGTAAAGAGAATACAAACATAATACAATATATCAATATTTTTATTCAATTAACATTTTGTATACATTTTTTCTAGGATGTTTACAAATCAGGTTTCTTTTTCATTGAAAACACATTTTACAACGACCTTAGAGATCCCAACAATCATGACAATAGTAAAGTCATAAGAGATTGGATGAAAAGTAGAAACTTTGATAGTGCTAAAACTGCAGTAATGGAAAACACACGAATAGATAGTCTTGTCTTGAAATTTGGATTTCCCTGGGTTTACCAGCATCAAGGAGATTGTGAACACTTAATTTCTTTCAGCAATGCTAGGTAACTTTTATTATTAATTTAACATTAACTAGTTCAAATGCAAGGAAATGGATTCAATTCTCAATCAGCACTACTTTACATTTCAAATTTTACACAATTAATTAATTTTTACTGATCATTTTTCAGATTAGTGAATTCATCAGATGAACTATGTACTGAAGTTTATCCAAGAATACTTAGAATTAAACCTAGGCCAAATCGTTATTGTATGACTTGTGGCATTTACAATGTCAGTTGGGTAACGATTGACAACAACCGATTACCTCACAATCCGTGTTTATTTTGTGAATCTTGCTTTAAATCATATAATTATGTAAAAGGAAAAAAAGTTGGATCGTTTTCAGCATATCCTTATCCTTATGATAGTGAATTACTGGAACCATTAATTGATGAAGAAATAATTAAGCAGAAACCAAAAAGAAAATTGACTAGATATGATTCTGATGGAGAGGAAGAAAGTATAGAAAATAGAAGAAACAGACCTGGTACCAGTCGTGATCCTTAGGACCTAACTTGAAAGTTTTAATTTCAAGTTATTCAACTTATTCAAATTAACTTTAGCTGAATTCAAATGAGGATTAAGTTTAAGTGCTTTTTTGTACATCATCTCAGCCTTGTCATATTTTTTCCAGCGATGATATAATACTCCTAAATTGTAAATAATAATTCAATTTTTTAAGCCATAAAAAAGTACATGCGAAAAAATTAATATAATAATGTTATTATACCTAAATTAACGTGATAAACCGCATTTTTTAGATCCCCAGCAATAGCAGTTTTAAAGTGATATTCTGCCTTTTTGAAACTTTCATCTTTGCCTAGTATGTTACCTATGTTAAAGTGTATAGCAGGATCATTTGGTATGTATGATAGTGCCTCTTCAGCGTAACTTAGAGCCTCATCTGATTGACCCATTTCTTCCAACAGCAAAACCAAATTAGTCCAAGCTTGTTTATGATAAGGATTTTGCTTAAGAGTGATCTCCCAAACTTCTTTGGCTTTTTGCAAATTTCTATTGGCCAAATACTAAAAAAAAAAAATTATTTTACAGTCATAAACCTTTCATAAATAATGGTGAATTATCTTCATCATAAAAATTAATTTTATTCATACCAAAAGCCCTAAATTGTAGTAACAATCTGGATATATATTTCTGTATTTTATAGCTGTGATATAACACTTCTCAGCTTCTTCATTTTTATTTATAACTGCTAATACTATGCCTAAGTTCATCCATGCTGCTGGAAAATCTTTTCTAAAATATTAAATACTTTTAATTAATAAGCTCTTCATGCATAATTTATTTGGATTAATAATTGATCACTTACTGAATATCTATTGCAGCTCTAAAAAGTTTTTCAGCTTCTTCATAGTGTTGTTCATTCTTGTAAATGTTACCCAAATTGTTCATGGCATGTGGATACTTTGGGTTTAATCTTTAAATTTAAAATACAGGATTTGCAAAATAATCAAAAAGAAAAATGTTCTATTTACAACTCCAATAATAATCATTCACCTTAAAGCCTCTTGGTATTCAGATTTAGAATAATTAACTAAACCTTTATCAGCAGCTACTTTTGCAACATTATAATGTACTTTAGCATTTAACGGACATACTTTTAAACCACTTTGGAACAATGTTGTTTCGTTTCTCCATTGATTGCTTCTAATCCATGAACGACTGGAGAAGATCAGTAATAAGGCACAATAGGATATTGCGATTATTCTTGAATTAGTCACAATCTTGGATACTTTCCTTAATCCAACAGCAAATAAAAAGCAATAACCAGCTGAAGGGACAAATAAAGTTCTCTCTGCAAGAACAAATCCCACTGTGAAGAATAAATTGCTAGCTGGTAAAAAGGGAATTACTGCAAGAGCTAATCCCATTATTGTGTATCTAAATGAAAACCATAATTTTTTTATTAAATGAATGTAAAATGTCTGCATTGATAAATTAGCATTAGCTCACCTAACTAGTTGTTCATCTGTTTTTGAAAATAGGAATCTCATGAAAACAACAATAAATAGCCAGAATGCTATAATACATAATATTCTGGGTTCAATACTTTTAATTAATGGTATGCAACCCATTGACCAATCGAAGCATAGCCAATCTGGACACAATAATATCCAGACATTCATACAATAAATGTAATTATAATTAATTATACGCAATATAAAATTATTCAGGAATGCTGCTGGATTATCTCCAGGTTGGAATGTAGGACTCGTGAATTTCATAATACTGAATCTTAAAACAATTAAAAATATGGAGCTCAAACTTAATACTGTACATCTCACCATAAAAGGTAAATTTGATATAATATATTTTTTTACATCTTGATATGTATAATTCAGTCTTGTAAGTTTTAATATATCAGCAGGTAGTATTTTGTTAACAACAATTATATCATAAACAATACAAATACCCTAAAATAAAAAAGAATATTTGAATTATTAAAATGATTAAATTTTTAAGAAGTATATCAATACTTACTAAAACGGTAATACCAGTTTCTTTACAAAACATTGCAGCGCAACTGTTTAATATGCACAATAATATGCAATTATATTTTATTACCATACAATTTGTATGAACACCTTTATAGTAACATATTATAGACAGCCACATGAAAAGTGCACTCAATACATCCGCTCTTCCAACTATGCCAGAAACCTGTTGCAGGTATAGTAAAACATTCAGATAAAAGTACAAATTTCATGAAAAATAAGCAGTTTAAGGCAAACTTACAGCTTCAGTGTGAACAGGGTGAACAGTGAATAATAATGTGGCAGACAAGGCTATCAATGGTTCCTTCCATTCCAATAATATTTCAAATACAAAAAAAGTCAATATACACACAACGGTATGTAACAAAATATTGGCTATATGAAAATCTGCTGGATCCAATTCCCCTTTGACTAAATAATGCCACCTTCAGAGAAAAATCTTTTTATGAAATCTCTTTATTCTTATTGAAAAATAGAATAATTCACCGACCGGAATGTGAGAGTCGTCAAGGGTCTGTAGGACTTGTGGCTGTTTTTGCTGGACAAATTCGTGCCCCAAAAGTCATTTTGAAAAATTTGAAGCAACGGCGTTTTGTCCTTGACGTCGTCGTTGTTGACGATGGCCTCGGTGTCGTCGAACACGAAATTTCCATCGTAAGAATTGGAAAAGCAGAGAGAAGCCGCGACGATCAAAATGATCGTCGTCGGCAAATTATAAACTGTCAAAATAAAAAATTCGATTGGATTTTTAAATGGCACAATCGGATAATAATTATTGAAAATAGCATAAAACTCACTCGGCAAGGCTACGATAGCTCGACTTTTTTTCCTACTCTTCAACATGATCGAACAATCGGCATAATTCCTCTAGGCAATCTCTATTCTACTGCTCATCTAACACTAATGATCCTGTCCGATGATCACCCGCGAAACTGCACATTTTCAGCCGCAGCAGCAGTCGAACGGTGGGTGCACGCACAGGATCAGGCAGTATGAAATTTAAAAGCGGCTTGGCGCGTCATGATACATCCACACACACGAGATCTAGATCAAACGCGCTCTACATATCTTCTATAACAAACGATACGCCGAATAATGCCGCGGCCTACATTATTATTTTTTTCTCTAAACGCGGGAGATCGATCTCATCGAAGGGGGATGACAGCCCTCTACCCTTTGTCAAAAAAAAAATTGGCGACGAGGTTAGGTCTGTCTATCCTACCGAAATGTCCCGTTTTGTGGCGTGTAGTGCACCTTTTTAACTTTTTTACCCCCCCGTTTGGCTCTTCTGCTATATTATTGATCCGCGAGCAGCAGAGTCTCGCAGTTTCGCGTAAAGGTGTGCAGTCCATGTGATTGCAGGTGGGTATACAGGTATATACACGAGATGTAGCGTTGGAAAGCTTGATTCGTGCAGTTTTCGCATATATTCGAAATTCAATCTTCGAATCGCGGCTGCGGTCCGGGCACCGATCTTGATTGCGATTCAATTTGGGCACGAAATAACTCCTGGAATCTAAATTATTGTTTCGCTCATCGATTTGACTGACAATAAAATATTATGAATTTTTATAATTGACATAATTTAACTTCGTTAGGTGCGCAAACTTATTTATCGCTCAAACTTTTAAAAATTCAAAAAATTGAAATAAAAGCATTAAAATATAAATGACATCGTAAATTGATGAAAGTATTGAGGTAAAGTATCCATAAAATAGGAGAGTTTCTTATAATTCTAAAGGAGTTGTAGAAATCTTTTTAAGTTTAAATGAAAATATTATTTTTCAGCGGGTTTTTCAAAAAAAAAAAAGAAAAAAAACTTATGGTTATTACCGATCACGACTCACTTAAGGTATGTAAACGGGATCATAGAAGCAGATTTTTTATTGAAATTTTGTACTTAAACATCTGTATAAGCATCTATAAACATTTACAATAGTCAAGAAAAAAAATAATTAACCCTTTTTCTCATTTCACTGATGATATACACGCTGCCATTATCAATTCATTGTAAAAGTATTAAAGAATAATACATTAAGGTCGTCCATCTAATTATGTAAAATGAAATGAGATGTAGTAAAACTTTAAGAAACCTCATATTTCTCATAAGTTTGAGAGTTATAGTGATCTGAGCTAGTCTTCACATTTTCCGTAAAAAAATTCGTCTACAAGAAATCAAATTAATAAAAATTTTATACATATTTTTGTACATTAACAAAAACTTTGAGCTTAAAAATTCTTAAAAGATTTTTATTAATACCCGATTGGGAGCATCTGTAGATTTTATGAGCTGATTTTTGATGTCAATTAAAATTCGATGAAGTACACGATTGTTTCTAGCATTAGAAATCGTTATGGTCTTCGTGCACTGTCATGCGTTTACCTATACAAGATCCTTATTTGTCCAAATAACTGCTCGTATTTGTCGAAAGAAAAATTATTATTGTTACCTAATGTGCAGTTTCTTATGGTGGGTAAGCAAAAGGTGTTTATATCCAAATTTCTTCTTGCATTTGTCGCATGCGTAATCCTTGCAACCTTCATGAACTGTCTTTTGATATAAGAGCAAATGCGATTTTTGTCCAAATTCCTTATCGCATTCATCGCATGAGTAATCTTTATTTACGATTGTCGTGTACTGCCTTTTGGTGGTAGGGCAAACTCTGTTTTTGTGTATATTTTTTCTCGCACTTTTTGCATACGTAATCTTTGCGACCATCGTGTACTACTTTTATATGCAAGAGCAAACTTTGTTTATTTCCGAATCTCTTCGCACATCTTTCACATAAGTAATCTTTTAAAATTTCGTGGAATATTTGGTCGTGCAGGAGGCTGTTGAAGATTACCAATTTTTCTGTTTATTACATTATTTGAAACTAGTTTGTAATTCGAACAAGGCGAAAATTTTTCGAAACATTTTTTGGTCTCCTCAAACCATGTATTTGCAAATATATACCCACTAATATCGAGATAATGAATCCTTATACAATATATTATAAATTATATAAAACATGAATATTTTTTTGATCTCAATCTTCATGCTGTTAAGAATATCTTTTATAATTCTTAATGATCTTCCTAGACTGCCATGAGACTTAAGCAAGTTCCTTTTTTGTCCAAATAATTACTGCGACATATTGTGTGCTGTCTTCTGGTGCTTAAGCAAATGATGTTTTAGGCCGAATTTTTTCTCGCATTTTTCGCATGCGTAATCTCTGCGACCTTCATGGACTGTCTTTTGATGTGAAAGCAAATGCGATTTTACCCCAAATTTCTTCTGGCATTTGTCGCATTCGTAATCTTTGAGACCTTCGTGGGCGATTCTTCTGTGCATAAGCAAATGTGGGTTCTGACCGTATTTCTTCTCGCACGTGTCACATGCAAAATCTTTCCGACCTTCGTGAATGGTCTTTTGATGTAAGACCAAATGTACTCTTTGTGCAAATTTCTTTTCACACTTATCGCATGTAAAATCTTTTTGACCCTCATGGACTGTCTTTTGGTGGTAAATCAAATTTGCTTTTTGTCCAAATACCTTGTCACACTTATCGCATGCAAAATTTTTACGACGTTCATGGACTATTTCTTGGTGTCTTTGCAAAGTATATTTGAACGTAAATTTTTTCTCGCACCTGTTGCATGCAAAATCTTTGCGACGTTCATGGACTGACTTTTGGTGGGCGATCACACTCACTTTTTGTCCAAAATTTTTCCCGCATTTTTCACATGCGTAATCTTTCCGGCCTTCGTGTACTAGCTTTTTATGGGCGAATAATTTCTGCTTTTGTCCAAATTTCTTTCCGCAATTGTCGCAAGCGTAATCTTTCAGATTTTCATGGGCCGTTGTTATGTGCAAAAGTAAACTGTATTTAGTATCAAATCTCTTGGCGCACTTTTGACATAAGTAATCTTTGAAAACTTCGTGGAATATTTTTTTGTGTTTAAGTAAAGTTGATTTGTTTTCAAATTTTCTCTCGCACTTGTTGCATGTGAAATCTTCTCGATCTTTGTGTGCCAATTTTTGATGCGTAAGCAAACTCGATTTTTTCACAAATTTTTTCTCGCATCTGTCACACGCAAAATCGTTGCAACCTTTGTGTACCGATATTTGCAGGTGTCTACTCAAATGACTTCGGAACTCAAATTTCTCTTCGCACTTGTCGCATACATGATCTTTTTGATCATTGTGAATTTCGTTTCGGTGTGTTATCATGCTTGATTCTATCGTAAATGACTCCTGACAAATATCGCAAACGTATTTTTTGTTATATTCACTTGAATTATCTATCGAGATAACTTCCTCGGATTTTTTATCCATTTTGGTGCCTTAATTAAACGATGGGTCCATATATTTAGTTTCACGGAAATTGAATGAATAAATACATATATTTTGGTATTACGGGTTGTATCATCTGAAAAGACAACATTCAAACTAATTTGATGTTGCTATTAAGATGATAAATAAATTTCAAGAGCTACGTCAAATAGATAACGACCATATTGTTTGTAATTAAGATTACCAATTTTTCTGCTTGTTCACGGTCTTATTACATTATTCGAAACTAGTTTGTAATTCGAACCAGGCAAAAATTTTTCGAAACATTTTTTGGTCTCCTAAAACCATGTATTTGCAAATATACACCCACTAATATCGAGATAATGAATCCTTATACAATATATTACAAATTATACAAAACATGAATATTTATTTGAACTTGATCTTTATGCTGTTCAGAATATCTTTTATAATTCCCAATGATCTTCCTGGATTGCCATGAGACCTAAGCAAGTTCCTTTTTTGTCCAAATAATTACTGCGACATATTGTGTGCTGTCTTCTGGTGCTTAAGCAAATGATGTTTTAGGCCGAATTTTTTCTCGCATTTTTCGCATGCGTAATCTTTGCGATTTTCATGGACTGTTGTTATGTGCAAGAGCAAACTCACTTTTTGTCCAAATTTCTTTCCGCACTTCTCACATACGTAATCTTTCCGACCTTCATGGATTATTTTTTGGTGCCTCAACAAATCTGTTTTTTGTCCAAATTTCTTCTGGCACTCATCGCATGCGAAATCTTTGCGTCGTTCATGTACTGTGCTTTGGTGGTAGAGCAAAGACTGTTTATGTCCGAATTTTTTCTCGCATTTATGGCACCCGTAGTCTTTCCGACCTTCATGGACTGTCTTTTGGTGGGCGAGCATATTCGATTTGTGTACAAATTTCTTCTTACACTTGTCACATGGGTAATCTTTGCGACCTTCATGTATTGCCATTTGGTGTGAGAGCAAATACGATTTTAGTCTAAATTTCATCCCACATTCATTGCATGCATGGTCGTAAAGACCATCGTGCACTGCTTTTGCATGGTTGAGCAAAGTCTGTTTGTGCCTAAATTCCTTCCCACATTTTTCGCATGGGTAATCTCTGCGACCATTGTGGACTACATTTTCGGGCCTGGTTAAATTCGATCGTTTTCCAAATTTCTTCTCGCGATTGTCACATAAGTAACCGTTGCCATCATCGTGTACTGTTTTTTGGTGCCTAATAAAATTCGATTTTAGACTGAATTTCTGTTCACATTTGTCGCATGCGAAATTTTTGCAGCCCTCATGGACTATTCTAATGTGCAAGAGCAAACTCCGTTTATTTCCAAATCTCTTTGCACACATTTCACATAAGTAATCTTTTAAAACTTCATGGAATATTTTGTTGTGCTTAAGTAAAGTCGATTTATTTTCAAATTTTTTCTCGCACTTGTTGCACGTGAGATCTTCACGATATTCGTGTGGCAATTTTTGGTGGGTAAACAAACTTGATTTTTTCACAAATTTTTTCTTACACTGGTCGCATGAGAAATCTTTACAACCTTTGTGTTCTGATATTTGGTGTCTACTTAAGGGGGGAAAGGCACCTAAAATCTAAAAAAAAAAAATTTTTTTTCATTGACTTTTTTGATAGGATTTTTCCTTGGCTTTCCAGTGCCGTGATCGGAATTTTAAAATGTTAACTGTACCGTGACGCACAGGTTATTTAGTACCGATACTTTTACGATTATTTAGAAAAAATGAATGAAACGACTCAAAGATATATCGTGGCCAATCTTTCATGAATCTCGAGACTTTCATAAGTCCGTAGCGCCATCTATTGATACTCGTTTTATTCTTTGGTTAGAGTACATCCAGCAGAAATTTGTT